TGATCAAAACATATAAAAATGTTATTTATTTTAATAAATTTTAAGTGAAAATTAATTTTTATTATTCGTGTAAATTATAGAGCATGCGACAAATCGGATAAATTTTGTAGTTATATGAATTTTTCGGATATAACAAACGAAAAACAATATATGTTTTCCAATAATGAAATGTGTAAATATTTGTAAGTGTATTTTTCTATATATAATAGACTATCATAAATAAAATATTTGTATATATCATATTAATCTAAATACATATATCCTCAATAAATAATATTGTTACAAACAAATAAAAAGATTTTTAATACAAAAATAATAATTAAAAATAGATAATATGGTAACTATAAATATTACATTTAGTTGGACTTAGATTTGTAAAACATGTATTAATGGATTTATGTTATAAAATTAGTAAGAATATGTAGAGATTTCCACCATGGCATATACCTTTAATTGAAATGTTTTCATTGGTTAATTTAAATTACATGTTTCTTAAAACCCTCATTGAGTGACACATAGGATTTTTCACTTTAGTGTCTCTTCAATTAATATATAGAAGATGTTAAGTTTGAATAATATTAATTTATGGATGTTTTAGATAAGAAAAAAATGCGGTTAATTTGTATATTTTATATATTGAAAGTATAATTAGTAATTAATTATAAAATAAGAAAAAGAATATATTTGGAATATTTTTTTTGGTGTAGAAAATGGAGTAATACATTGGAGCAAAATACAATTCTATTTTGGAGTAGAAAATGGAGTGATATATTGGAGATGCTGTCAATGGTCATTTGATGACTTTTCAGGGTAAAAAAGTAGCTTCTTGTTTTCTCTTTGAGGTAGCTATGCTTATATATTTGTCTTCTGATTTCGAAATGTTTGATTCCTTTAGCAATAGATTTTGGTATATTCTAAATAAGCTTTGATATAACATGAATCATCTAGAGTATTAAAGTTTGTATTGTTTTGCAGGCCTATTATAGACTTCAATGAGGTTACCTTTCACTCTATATTGAATGTATAAATTTCTATTCCTAGAAGGCTAAAACCGCATGTAAGAAAATGGAGCATATCAAAGCATTTGTAGAATAGCTCTGCTTGGTCAAATCTCTCTTGTTTTTGTTTGAGTTTTTCTTTTTTACTCTTTTTAATTTGCCCTGAACTGGATTTTTGTTGGTTGGTTCTTCATGTCTAACAATCCCAAGAGACAGTCTTCATGAAAAGAGTGAATGCAATTAAGAAGCTGATACAGTGTCTCTAGTGACATAGGCTCCAAACATATGAAACAATCGTGATCTTGATCTTGATTTGTATCTACCGGTTTAGTCAAAGAAGCATAATTAGAGGGCTTGATGGAGACAATAATGAGCAAGAATCTCCGTTGGGTTTTGACGACGATCCGATCACATATTAGTTGAGATAGAGAGCTTCTTGGAGTTGGCTATGGAAAATTTTATTATTATCAGCAAAATTTCATTCTTATCGAAAGTTGACAACATGTTAATGATTACTTTACGGTTATCTACTGACAATATATATGTATTCAATGTTTGGTATGTATTAGGCATAAGTATGCAAAATGCGTGCATGTTTTAATCTTTGAAACATGGACAATCTTCGTAGATACCACTAAATAAAGTTTTATTTTCAAATATTCCACAAATATCATTAATTTTCAAATGTTCCACAAATACCACAAAATTAAAGTTAATTTTCATAATTTCATTTTTTTTTGTATCATCATATCCATGTAAAACATGCAAATATATTGTTGACCTAACATTTTAAGACAAAATATGATAAATTAACAATATTAATCTTTTATATCGTTTTAAATATATCAACAAATAAATAAGTTGGTTTATCCTATCAAATTTTTTTTTTTTAAAAGAAACCAAAATTGATAAATCTAATGTTTTAAAAACAAATATTATGATTCAACAAAAAATAACATGATATAGACGTTAAATTTGCAATAAATATCACATGTTGATAAAATGAAAAAAACCATTATATAGATTTGCAATAAATATCACATGTTGACAAAGAAAAAATTGCTATTATAGTGTGGTATGAAATGAATTCTCGAAACGCTGATATCTTTGAGCTAATGTCACTGAGATTTATTGAAAACGGTTAAGTCGTTAACATTTTGAATCTTCA